AGACTGGCCAAAAAGTTTTGGTTGATTCTGGTAGTGAGATCTCAGTGTTATCTCCTTCTCCTAAAGATAAGAGAAACTGTTGTGAAACATTTGGCCTTTTTGCTGCCAACAATTCTAAAATTCCTGCATATGGATATTCGTGCGCAGACAGGTCGACTTGGGTCTCCGGAAGCCCATCTCATGGACATTTGTGATTGCTGATGTAACTTCTCCTATCACTGGTGCAGATTTTTTGAAACATTTTAATCTTCTTGTTGATTTGAAAACGGCAGTGTCTTATAATCCTGAAACTTCACTGTTTACTTATGGCAATGTTGCTCACAAAAGCCAACCTTCTATTGTCACTGTTTCTGTTAATTCAGATTATGACTCCTTGCTTTCTGAGTTTCCAGATATAACAAATCCTACTCTAAATTAAGCAGCAGGACTGTTCCTCATAATACAGTGCATCATATCTTGACCGTGGACCACCTGTGACTTCAAAACCGAGACGACTCCATCCCAAGCTGCACGAAGCAGTGAAATCTGAGTTCGAATTCCTCCTGGATCAAGGGATAATCCGTCCTTCCAAGAGTCCATGGAGTTCACCATTGCATGTCGTCCCTAAGCAGGATTCTGCAGTTCGTCCGGTTGGAGATTACCGCAAGCTGAATTCTGTGACTGAATTTGATAGTTATCCTATTCCGTACCTTCAAGACTTTGCTCATTCACTCTACGGTAAATCCATTTTCTCAAAAGTAGACATCTTTAAAGCATTTCACCAAATTCCTATTGCAGACGCTGACATTCCTAAAACAGCAGTGACAACCCCATGGGGTCTCTACGAGTATACTCATCTGTGTTTTGGCTTAGTGAATGCACCCCAAACCTTCATGCGCTTTATGCACGAGGTCCTAAGGGGTCTCCCATTTTGTTATGTTTATCTTGATGATATATACTATGTTTTTCAAATGATGCAGTGGAGCATAAGAAGCACTTGCATGCTATATTTCAAAGACTGAGTACTTATGGTCTCAAGTTAAATGTTTCAAAATGTGTGTTTGGTGTATCACTGAGCTGGAGTTTCTTGGTCACCATATAAGCCCAGGAAGGGGTTAAACCCTTGCAAAATAAAGTCCAAGCAGTCCTAGATTTTAAGTTGCCTGAAACTATTGGTAATTTGCGTAAGTTTCCTAGGCCTAATTAATTTCTATCGTAGGTTTTTTGCCTCATGCAGCAGACAACCAGGCCTTTGTTAAGTGACGTTTTTTTAAAGGGATCTTCTGGCAAGAAAAATTCAAAGAAACCAATTATTTGGACTCCGCTTGCAACTGAGGCTTTTAACAAAATGCAAACAAGCACTAGCTAATGCCCACGTTACTTGCCCATCCTTCTCCAACTGCCCCACTTGCCTTGCATGTAGATGCATCTGATCATGCTATTGGTGGTGCATTGCATCAGGTTGTGGACTCCAAATTGCAGCCCTTAGGTTTTTTTCTCGAGGAAGCTCAGTACAGCAGAAAAGAAAACTCGGTACAGTGCTTATGACCGGGAGCTCCTTGCTGCTTATGCATCCATTCACCATTTCAGACATATGTTGGAGGCTAGAGAGTTTGTCCTCTTTACTGATCATAAGCCTCTGACATATGCTTTCCGTCAAAAGAATGACAAGTGCTCTCCACGCCAGGTGAGGCATTTAGATTTCATCTCGCAATTCACAGCTAACATACAGTACATTCCAGGGACTGAGAATATTCCTGCAGATGTCATGTCACGTATAGCTAGTTGCCTAAACTCTTCCTGCATCAGTTGATTATTCTAAAATAGCTACAAGCACAAACATTGGATGATGAGTTGAAGTCCTTACTGTCATCAGACACATCCCTGCAGTTAAAAAAAATTACTCTCCCGGAATCAAACATTGATCTATTCTGTGATGTATTGACTGGCAGAGTTCGTCCCTATGTCCCAACTCAGTTTCGCCAGGATGTTTTTTGCCTTCATTACACAACATGGCTCACCCTGGTGTACGCAGAACACAACACATTGTGCGGTCACGATTTGTTGGGCCTAAAATGTTATCGGATATAGCTGAATGGACCAAATGTTGCATCCCATGTCAAAAGGCTAAAATTCATCGCCATACAAAAGCACCTTTGGCAAGTTTTAAGGAGCCTTCCCAAAGATTTGACCATGTTCATTTGGACCTTATAGGCCCTCTCCTTCCTCAAATGGTTATTCTTACTGCTTGACTTTAATTGATCGTTTCTCTCGATGGCCAGAAGCTCAACCACTCAAGGATATCTCTGCTGAAACTGTTGCAGAAGCATTTTTCACATGCTGGGTCTCCAGGTATGGAGTGCCCTCTACTGTGACAACTGACCAAGGACGCCAGTTTGAAGCTTCACTTTTTCGCTCTCTCACTCATCACCTGGGAATTCAGAGATCCAGGACGACTAGTTACCACCCCAGTCGAATGGGTTAATAGAGGAATTGCATCGACCTCTTAAGACTGCTATCAAGTGCCATGCCACTGAGCGGTGGACTGAAGTCCTTCCTGTGATCCTTCTTGGTTTTCGAGCTGCTTTGAAAGAAGATTTGGGTTGCACACCAGCAGATTTGGTTTTTGGCACCACCATTCGTCTGCCTGGGGAGTTCCTGGTTCCTGCTCAACAACCGGTTGACACCACAGATTTTGTCAGCCACTTAGGTGCACATATGCAAACACTTCGCCCCATACCACCCAAGAGACATGGTGATAGCAAAACCTTTATACACCGTGATTTAGCCACAGCTACCCATGTTTTTGTTCGTCATGATATGGTGAGACGCCCACTTCAACCTCCTTATGATGGACCATTTTTAGTTGTTCGTAGAACAGAGAGGGTCTCTTACCTAGACATAAATGGCAAAACTGTACCGGTATCCATTGATCGTGTAAAGTCAGCTTATGTTCTGAACAGGGGTAAACCAATCGCTTCACTAACTTCATCTCACCGTTTGCAGGGCACTGTGGTACATGATTTGCCACTTAACCCAAGATACTCCATCAAATGATTGTCCATCTGATATCACAAACTTCAGCACAGCCTGCAACAAAAGGTGCAACCTAGGACTACACGTTCTGGGTGTCATGTTCAATTCCCTGTACGATATCGTTGACACTGGGAGGGTAGTATGCAGCAACCATGCAACGAACTTTTAAATTAAATGTTAACTGTTTGCTTTTTCATGTATAGCAGTCCTGCAACTAAACTCTGTACTTTTCTCTCAAGTGAAGAGAACTGATTTCTTGTAGTTAGTTCTTCCTCGTGTTTGTGCTGTTATCGCTAGCGATATAAAAGCGCCGTGATATGTTTTTGTAGAATGATTTATTTTTTTCCTTCGCTAAGTAAATTGTAAATAAATGTGATTGATTGAATAAGTAGCTTATTTGTGAATATGCAGAACCAACCTGCCGTACAGTGCTTATTTTATCTGAGAATGGTTTGTAGCTTTTATATTCATAAATGTAGGTTGAGAAAATCTGATGAGACATCTAATTACTTTCTTTGAAATCCACCAGTTCCTCAGTTGGTAAAACCGCTGAACGCTGGTAGTTCGACCGAAGCTCAAATTCTGGCGAATGGGTTGACTACACGGGCGTGGGTTTTCTTATATGAATTCTAGGCAGTTTTCCGTAAAATACATTCGATGAAGGCATCCCTATCTTAATTAGGTAGCCACAGTGTGTACTTTGCCATAATCAGAATAATTTAGTTGCATCTAATTTCTAATAATTTTTTAATCATTCGTAGTATTTTAATAATACTTAAATTTCTCGTTACCTTCAGTTCGGGGTGTGCGTTTCCTAAGATATTCGAATGTGTCTAAAATTTATAATCACAAATTTTTTATATATGTGGAAAGAAATTAAATGGGGAAGGAAGAGAGAATGGATTTTTTATTCGTATTAAGGCTAAAAGTTGTTTCCCGGATAATTGTTAATAGGAAGGATTTTTTTTTCTTGAGTAAATGACACGGAAAATTTACATTCTTCCTCATATTTACATTTCTTCAGAATATAATTTCAAAAAAATCAAAAAACTTATAATGCAAATTTAAACAACTTCTTTTAATTAGGTTTAGCCCAAATAATGCTTATTTGTAGAGATCAGTAGCTAATATTTTTATTTTCAGTAATACTTGTACGGAATTTTTATCAAAAACGTAAGAAAAGGTTATCTGTATTATCAGAAGGGATTCGAAACTATATCCTAATTTTATTAGTAAAATAAAACTAACAAAATCGGTGCTACTTTGGTAGATGGTTGCACGGATTGTGGCGATTTTCTGCCGATTTGTTTGGGCGAGCGATAAGACTTTATGGTAAACCAATTGCTGGACATGTTATTTATGGTAACCGATACTTTGTTGTCATTTTATTTAAAATATAATGCGTTTTATCATGCATAAATTCCGTGTTTAAAATATTATTTATAACTTCTAAATAATAAAAATGAATTTAATTTTGCATTTTTATTTCAAATAAAAATGCAAAATTAAATTCATTTTTATTTATCATTAATAATGAGAATATTTATTATTTTATTATTTTATTTATCCAGAAAATATCATTTTCATGATATTTTATGGAATTTTATGTGTGAATGATGTAATGAATGACGTCACATTATTTTAAAAGTAATTGGTTTTAATATCTATAAATTTAATCTAATGTTTTAAACATTATTTATGGCTGTTAAATATTAAAATACAATTTAATTTTGCATTTTTTTAAAATATGATTTTATTATGAATGATTGTTTAAATAATTTTACTATGCGTGAAATACGTACAAACAGCATTTTTCAAGATGGCTGACGACTGTAAAAACCGCGCCAACAACTGCACCACTGTAAATCGCCAAAAATCCGTGCAACCGTCTACCAAAGTAGCACCACAAAATCTTTAATTAATTATAATCAGATGTAGTTTAGAATAGATTTTACATGATTTTCTTTAAACATTTCCATGAACAGGTGCACAAAGCTCTTGGACACGACAAGCATTGCAGTGCTTTTCAAATACGTTACGGTGGTTACAAAGGAATGCTCCTAATTGATCCAACGCTGAAGGACACCGATATAGCGTTTCGAAAAAGTATGAAGAAGTTTGAATCACCACAAAATATTAAACTAGAAATTGCAAGGGCAAGCGCTCCAGGTAAGTAAAATGCTTAATAGGCCGGCAATGCGGGAACTTTTGCATCATTAATTGTAAAATTACCAAATGATTCTTATTTGCGATAGATATAAAAGAAACGTGCCTTTGAATGCTTTCAAAAGTGTTAGGCGATATTATGTTAAATTATATTATAAAAATGTTGCAGGAGGAAAATAAATTACAATATTTTTTCTGTTTTTTTAAAAATAATTACACTATTATGTTCTAGAAAATTGTGTATACAAATGTTATCAAAAGAATAAAAATTATGAAGATTAAGAAACGAATGTCAGAAAAAATAAATCGTTAAAACAAGGAAAATGTTTTAAAATACAAATCGTATTCTGGTGAATCACCTCGGGCTTATGTACGCTTAAACTGTTTGACATTTAATACTAATGCCATTCGTTATATATTTGTTTCAGTTCAGCGTTTCATGTAGCACTTGTTTCATTCCCATGTTTCTAATTCTTTCAAAATACTGAGTTGATCGGAAAGTAATGAGGATTGCGATAGGCAGTTTAAAAAAAAAGGGGGTATCAGTGGGTGTTGATTACTTAAGATTGGCATATATATAAAATTCTCAAAAGAATTATCCACTTCTAACATAAATACATTATGGCAATATACAAAAAGAAAACTTTATTAAAGAAAATCAGACGTAAGAAATCTTACCACATTTTATCAAACCATCACATACAGCGGAGCACAAACTCAATTCTACACTGGCCATGGTCCCTTCCCACATTACCTTAAGAGATTCGGCATACGAGCATCAGATTTGTGTGAATGTGGTGCGGTAGGTGATGCAGATCACTTCCTCTTCAACTGCCCACAAACCGATAAACTGCATTTAAAAATGCCAAGCAGTGAATACTGGCCGCAATGGTCGGAGAATACCCGCGGCAACAAGCAGACAAAAACAAAAATAGAGGAGGTAATCAGGCTTTGCTCAGCAAGATACTAAGAAATTCTCCCCTCTCTTGAGAATTGTATCTTCGCAGCATAATTTTAATAGCAATTCAAAATACTACAACAACTGAATATCAACACTAGGAAATCACCCCGTAGAATAATAACAGGACTGTAAGAGCAAAACTATTGTAATGTAAGCATATTACTATCCAGTTTATATGTACTTGATAAAAATAATATTGTAAAGCAGTTTAAATGATATTGAAAATCCAGTCAATGTGTAAATGAATTACAAGTTTAATTTTGATTATCTCAGTAAAAGTATTGTAATATGAATTCATATAATATCTAAATGTACACATAGCTGTCATGATTTTATGTATCTATCATATGTAACTTGTACAAGACAATGATTGTAATCAACATATCTATGCTTATACACAGGCCTTGTATGCCCATGTAATATTTATATGTATATTTTTACAAGTGACAAGTGACGGAGGACGGGGACGCCTGGCGTATAACATAGGTAAACAGGCATATGTCCCACGTCCTCCTCTATCTCGAAGAAGCAACTCGCTGGAGCCCCGTGAGGCTGCACCGGGAGTTTACATGTCCATACAGGTGCTAGATGTCGGGTAGTTTTTACATAGGACGTTGTTAATAACACAAAACGGAGAAAATTTTCCCTTCTGCCAGGATGACTACTAACACTGTAAGACTTTTACAACAAAGTCAGGTCAGGTTATCTCAGGCGGCGCTCAGTCTGTTTTAATTCCTATTGGTTTGTCAATTAGATCATCTTGACCCAATTCTTCAAGTAAAAAGATGTACCATTTAACTTCACATGCACATTCGCAGAATGCTAAAAATTCAGCTTCCATTGTAGATAGAGCAACTATTCTTTGTTTGTTGCACTTCCAATTTATGAAATTTTTGCCTACTTTAATGAAATAACCTCCAAATGATTTTCCATCTTCAGTGGTACACCAACTTGCATCTGATATAGCATTTAATTCCCCATTGTCTGAAGTATACACTAAACAAGTATTTTGTGTTCCTTTAATATATCTAAATATCCTCTTTACAGCTTTCCAGTGTTTCTCTCTGGGATCTTGATTATATCTTGACAAATTACTTACTGCAAAAGCTAAGTCTGGCCTTGTGCCTGTTGCTAAGTACATCAATGAACCTAATGCTTCTTGATATTTTGTCTTCGACACAGGTGGTGAAGATGCTATGTCATCAAGATTTTCACCCAATATTCCTGGAGTCTTGATAGGTTTACATTCATCCATTTCAAAGTTTTTTAAGATTTTAGTTATGTAGTTTTCTTGACTAAGTTTTCCAGATTCTTGCCGGATGTCTATTCCTAAAAATTTTTGTGTTTGAGTGACTTCTCGTAATGTGAACGATTTAGATAGTTGAGAGATGATGTCATTTATCTCAGAATTTGAATTTCCAATCACCATTAAGTCATCCACATATACTGCTATGATAAAATATTTGATCTTATCTTTATAAATATAAACACACGGATCTGACTTTAGTCTAGTTAAATTCTTTTCTTTAAGAACTTTACATAATTCATCATACCAGCATTTTCCTGATTGTGTTAATCCATATATACTTTTGTTTACAAGATATACTTTGTTCGGATCTGATATAAAGCCAGGTGGTTGTTCCATGTAAATTGGTTTATCCAAGTACCCATTTAAATATGCAGCTTTTACGTCGAAAAATCTTATTTTGTAGTTTTTGTAAACTGCAATCGATAGTAATGTTCTAAAGGTTGCAAGTCTCATTACTGGGCTAAATCCATCTTCATAATCAATTCCTTTTCTTTGTTTAAATCCGGTTGCTACTAGTCTTGCTTTGTAAATTGTTTCTAAATTACCCTTTTCATCCCTTTCTGAGAATATCCAGCGGTTTTTAATAACTTTCTTATCGGCGGGTCTTTCAACTAATTCCCAGACTTCATTAGCATCCATTGAACTCAATTCTCAATTCTTCTTGCTTGTAGCCAGAATTCACTTTCAGCAGATTCTATAGCTTCATCATTTGTCTTAGGTAATCCTTCATTTGTATTGTATACTACATAATCTTTTAATTTTTCTGGGGGCTTCGTAATTCGCGCTGGTCTTTTCTGTACAGAATTTCCATGATTATCGTTTCCAGGTTCTTCATTTATTTGCGGATACTTGGTTGGCTTTTCCAATGAATTGTTATCATCGTCTTCATCATCACTATTGGATGGCAAAATTTTCTCAGCTTCTTCATCTGTTGTATTATCTTCTCTATAGTATCTGTTAGTTATTTCTGAATTATTTACATTTCCATTAGTTTGTTCCTTATAAAAAATAATAAGTTCTTCTAATATTTGAATTTTCTTTTAGTAAAGGTGATCCAAGTTTCTGTTCATCAAATTTTACATCTCTCACTTCTTGAATTTTATTTAGTTCAGGGATATAAATTTTGTATGCTTTTCTCTTCATGCTATAGCCTATCATAATTCCTTTTTTTAGCTTTTAGATCCATCTTTCTACGTTTTTCTCGTCTTATATGAACATATGCTTCACATCCAAATCTTTTAAGATGAGTAATGTTAGGCTTGCGTCCTTTATATAGTTCATATGGTGTAAACCTTTTATCATTTTTGTGACTCCTGTTATTCACATGTACAGCTACTTTAACGCTTTCAGACCAAAATTTTATCGGTAATTCTGCATCAATTAACATAGTTCTAGCATATTCAGTTATAGTGCGATTAAAACGTTCAGCTTTTCCATTACTTTCCGGAGTATAAGGGGTTGTAAGTTCATGTTTAATTCCCATTTTTTCAAAAAATTCTTTTTATATTTTTAGCTAAAAACTCACTACCATTATCACTACGAATTCTTTTTAGTTTCTTTCCTGTTTGTCTTTCTTCTTGAATGATAAGTTTGATTAGAGCTTCTGAAGTTTCACTCTTCTTCTCAATTGTTATCACAAATATGAAATTACTGTAATCATCTACCACTGTTAAAAAATAACAACTTCCGTCTATTGATTTCTCAATTGGTCCAACTAAATCTATGTGCCATAATTCTAAAATATCTTCAGATTGCTTAAATTTTACATTTTTATAAGATGTTCGTGTTATTTTACCTAATGTACAAGGTTCACAATTGTTTTCAGAAATTTTTACATTTTCTAATCCAATGACCGATGAGTGTTTTGTGTTTTTTCATGTCTATCAGCATTTGATAATTTATATGACCTAGTCTCTGATGCCGTAGTACATCATTAACATAACTAATTTTAGCTTCTTCAACAATATTTCCTTCAACTTCAAATTTATTTCCATTTCTGTTAGCTATATATAGAATGTTTCCCTGTTTATTGATCACTTCTGCTTTATTTTTGGTAAAAATTACTTTTAAATCATGATCTACAATTTTTGATACTGACAGCAGATTTTCACTTAAATTCGGTACTTGCAGAACATTTTCTACTCTCAAGATGTTCTTATTTCTATCAGTTTGCATTTTAATGTTACCAATACCAAATGATTTGATCATGGCCCCTTTTTCAGCCGTCATTATTTGTCGTTCTTCATCTTTAAAATTAGTAAATATTTCTTTATTAGTTGCCATGTGAGATGTGGCTCCTGAATCAATAATCCATTTAATTTTTCTATTCTCTTGTTTATTTATTTTATTCTTTCCATCATTTCTATCTTGATTAAGATATGAGCTTTCTATTTTCTTAGATACTTCAAATAGGCATGTAGCTGATTCATATTCTCTTTCCTTGCTTGACATTCTATAAGTTTTATTTGTTACAATTCTCTGCGGTCGGTGTTCTTGTTTAGTTTTCATTTTACATTCAGTTGATTTGTGGTTGAATTTTCCACAGCAAAGCACTTTATTATTATTTCGACATTCTTTTATTAAATGTCCTAATTTTCCACAATTAAAGCATCTTCTTTCATATTTCGATTTTATCCAGTTTTCTTTTGCCTTAGAACTTACTTCTATTTCTTTTCCTCTTTGTTTATTTTTCCTTCTATTTCTTTTAAAGCTTGTCTAATTGACGCTAGATCT